AGCTCTCATCTTCTTACCTTTAGCCACAGAATCCCCAAGGTCATGGGCCCACCATGTCAGTCCCCTCTCCCCGTCCTGGCGACCTTCACCTGGTCTCCGTCATTGCTTTCTGGTCTTTATTACGCATGACCTCTATGTTCCCTTCCATTCAGGGCTTTCTCTTTTGTCTTTGGATCTCCAAGAGTCAAGGTTGGGAAGAACGGAGTCTGATTATCAGCTGTGTTCTTTTCTCTGTGTCCTTTGAACTCAACAGTTACCTGTCGAAGCCTGTGCCCAGTTAGGGAAAGGGGCTGTCTCTGATCTGTGGTGGCACAGACCTGAAGTTTCACACCACTCAGGCCTCCGCTCCCCACAAGGCCAGCAAAGTGAGGGAAGAAAGAAGCCCCATGAACAACATTTCAGGTCTGATCTCAATAAGCAAACTATTGTCAGGACGCGGCTTCTGGAACAGGTGTAGACCCTGTGGAGGGACCTGACTGGCCAGCTGCTATTGTGATCAGGGCTCTCTTCGTGACAAGTGTCGAAGTTCCCAGAAGAATATTCTGTAAATGGATACAGGGGCGAGGGAGCAGCCGGCTCCAGATAGATAGTACCTGGCTCACGGAACAGGAACATTCTTCTTATTCCTGCAGATGGATTTCTTTTCTTTTAAAAAATATATTTTATTGATTTTTTATAGAGAGGAAGGGAGAGGGATAGAGAGTTAGAAACACCGATGAGAGAGAAACATAGATCAGCTGCCTCCTGCACATCTCCCACTGGGGATGTGCCCACAACCACGGTACATGCCCTTGACCGGAATTGAATCTGGGACCTTTCAGTCCGTAGGCCGATGCTCTATCCACTGAGCCAAACTGGGTTTGGCCTGCACACAGATTTCATTGCTCCACTGGCTGCTGGGCAGTCCATGCTCCTCGAAAGCTCTCAAGAACTTCAGTTTCCTTTTCTGTGAACCGGGAGTACTAACGGCCCTAACCTTACAAGGTTATGTGTTTATTTTAAATGGGGATTCACTTCGTTAATCCAAGGATGGTACTTAGCACAGTGCTGGGATCTAGTACGTGTGCAATATGTTAGCTCTTAGCACCGTAATTGTTAGTCTTCTTTGACGTGTCAGTGTGGGCTCAGGTGTCTGTCACATGAAGTTGCTATAGGCCCTCTCTGGACCCATGTAGTGTTTGGAAGGCCGGGGTAGGGCTCCATCCTTGTGAAACGCCATCTTGTTAGATTCTGCCTGTTATTCTAACCCAGTAGTCGGCAAACTGTGGATTGAGGGCCACATGCGGCTTTTTGGCCTCTTCCACAAAATACCACGGCCTGGGTGAGTCTATGTTGAAGAAGTGGCGTTAGAAGACATTTAAGTTTAAAAAATGTGGCTGTCAAAAGAAATTTCAGTCATTGTACTGTTGATATTTGGCTCTGCTGACTAATGAGCTTGCAGACCACTGTTCTAACTCTTCCCTGATAAGTTTGGTCCCTGGCTCAGTGAGGCAGTCTATTCCATGTCTCTCCCAAACCTGCACATTGGCCAAAGTTTAAGGACTCACAATACCCAAAGGAAGGTAGTTTTTGTCTTCCCTTTGCCTCTCTTGAGGGCTGGCAAATGGAGCAGAGAACGGGAATGAAGAAACATGAAACTCAGAAGTGGCGAGTGGCGGTGACCAGCTCAGAGCTGGGGTCAGCAGCTGTGGGCGAGAGCCGACACTTGCCTGCAGTGCAGCACTGCACGGTTAATGGCGGGCTCCAACCTCAGTTTCCTCATGAGTTTAAACAGCGCGAGCTCTACCTTCTGGGCTTGTGGGGAGGACTCCATGAGCAAACACATGTCTGGCACACACAGGCTGGAGCTGCTCTATTTACACGGCCATGGTGGTGTTTCTCTGTGGGCCTGGGTCTGTGGTCCTGACACTACGAACAGGCGTTTGGAAGAGGCACTGGTGTCTGGGGGTACCACGTCCAGACCTGGCCTGGAAGCAGTCCCTGGGAGGAGAGAGGGCTGGGGGATCGGATGGCCAGCGAAGCCAGCTGACAGCAACAGCAGCGAATGCGGGCCAGCTCGTACAAGCGGCCGTTTGTTCGGCCCTCGGCCGGCACACTGTCCTCCAACACTGAGGCCATTATAGCACAGGCCTCCTGCACAGCACACACCATCGCAGCTGCCAAGGTCAGGCACACGCAGACAACCTTCCCCAGCTGTGGTCTGGCCGCTGCCCAGCTCATCGGTGGGTGGGGCACTCCACAGGGAGGGCCAAGGACCAGGGTGTGGGGGATCGAGGAGGCCGGATCTTGGGGTGGCAGCCACAGAAACGTGAGGAGGAAAAAGGCACTACCTTTTAAAACTTGGAGTTGGGGTCCCTGAAGAGAGTGGCAATAAAATGGTGAGGGTGCGTTGCCAAGAGAGTGGCTGCTTGGGCTACTGAGAAGTATTGTTGTTGGGTGGAAATAGACAGCTTTCGGTGCTAACTGAAAATCAATCAGGGGATTCCGATCTTTGGGTAATGGAATCCTTTATAAGGATCAAAGAAGCTTCTGCTGGAGAGGCTTTGAAGGCCTGGAGGGCAGGCCCTCGGCTTGAATGCTGGAGATCTTGGAGATGCCTAGCGGGGACTCCACAACAATAAAACGGAAGCGGAGTCAGGGAGGACCAGACCAGGGTGTTCCGGTCTGTCTGGCCCCACATGGGCTGTGTGGCCGGGATGCTGCTAGGGATGCAGACCTCCCTGAGGAGAAAGCCCCTGGGCCCTCCCACTCGCTCTGATGTGGTTCGGAGGGAGGGGTACTGCACCCCAAACGCAGCTGTGCCCCAGGCTCATCCTTCCGCTTCAGAACCTGTCCAGGAAGCGAGAGCCCATCAGAACACTGAGGCCTTGGGGATAGATGGGACTCTGCCACAGGGCCAAGGCATCAGAGGGTCTCTGTTTAATAATTAATGATTAATAATTAATAATTAATAACAATAACTATTATTATTATATTTAGCCCTGACTGGTTTGGCTCAGTGGATAGAGTGTCAGCCTGTGTAGATTGAAGGGTCTCAGGTTTGAGTCTAGTCAGGGGCATGTGCCACGGTCTCATTTCTGACTCTCTATCGCTCTCTTCCTCTTTGTAAAAAATCAATAAAAAATATATAACAATAAATAAAAATTACCTTTAAAGTGGGGCACTTGTGTTGGCTCCTGGGCTCTAGGGCCACGTTGCGTCCTTCCTGAGTTTTCACTTTGCTCTGTGTGACATCTTTGCAGCCTGTTCCAGAAACCAGATTTCCCGATGTCGGCCGGCTTCCTGGCACTGCCTCTTGCTCCTGGGTGGCCGGGCTGCCCCGGTGAGGGCTCTCTCCCTCTCCTTCCGGCTGCTCCTTGAGCCTGAACCAGTTCTCTTTCCACACCTAACACGCTGCCCTTAGTTCTGCCTTCCTCCTCACTTTCATTTACATTTAACCGTGAGAATGCCCCATTCACAACCCTCCTGTCCCTTACGTGGATCGTCATTACAGCAAGATCCTAAGCAGATGCCCTCTCTCTTTCTTTGAATCCATCCTTCACACCAGAGCTGGTTTTTTTTTTTTTTTTTTTTTTCTGGAGCCCTGATCTGATCATGCCACAGCACATACAAAAGTCCATAACACGTTCCTGAGCCTGCCTTCAGCCCCTCCTTAGTCTGACTACAGTCCCCTTTACCCAATTCCCCTCTTTTTTTTTCTTTTTCTTTTTAAAACACATGTGTACTGACTTCAGAGAGGAAGGGAGAAGGATAGAGAGAGAAACATCAAAGATGAGAGTGAATCATTGATTGACTGCTTCCTGCATACCCCCCACTGAGGATGGAGCCCACAGTCCTGGCATGTGCCCTGACCTGGAATTGAACCGTGTCCTCCTGATTCATAAGTTGACGTTCAACCACTGAGCCACACCAGCCGGGCCACGTAATTATTACTATTGTTAATATTGAAACCAGTGAGAGACTAAATAAATACACTGATAAAGTAATGTATGTCTCAGAGGAGAGAAAGTCAGCCTCATCATGCTGGGCCATGTCCTCTGCTCCCACTGTGGGGACCGCCTTGAGAGCTAACCGTACACACTCTAAATATAATGGCTTACCACCCTGTAGAATTCAGGGGTCCTCAAACTTTTTAAAGTGGGGGCCAGATCACGGTCCCTCAGAGAGCTGGAGGGCCGGACTATATGAACTACTAATTCCTACTGTAACACCTCGGCTGCGCTCACTGCCCAAAAAACCTGGTGGGCCGGATCAGACTCCTCTGCGGGCCGCATGTGGCCCGCGGGCAGTAGTTTGAAGACCCCTGCATGCTCACAAATCCCCGGGCCTCAGAGGAGAAGGATTTTTATTTTTTTTTATATTTTAACTAGAAGGGAATGGAGAGAGTCATAAAATGTTTACGTCTACTACTGACTATATTACTGACCCATAATACCCTTTTTTTTTTTTTAACAGTGTCTCCTAAAATGATTACCATCTCAAAAACAATCCCAAACAGTGTTGCAGCTGGTGTGTTGCTGTCATCAGTTCTGAGGGGTATTGCTATCTATGGCCGCCCCCCCCCCCAAAAAAAAACACACAACAAAAAACAAAAAAACTTCAACAATAGAACAGAATGGAACAGTCCATGGTTACAGTCATCTAGGATAGGCTGTGAATGCTATAGTGACTACAGACCAGATGCAGTTGAGCAAGAAGAGTGATACCAGTGTCTTTACTCAAGCACTTTATACGCATGAGCTTATCATTCCCCACCGGGGAACTCTCCAAAATAGCATAAGCTCCAGACACCAGACTGAGAAGTCATTTCGGTCGGGACTTTTATGTCCTCCACTAATTTCTCACTCCGTTCCAGCACCCGGAACATGCCTGGCACAAATGTTTGTTGACGGAACAAGTGAATGAAGAGGTTGCCTGAAGCTGTGGGAGGTCTTTGCCTCCACTGGACAGTCTCCAGGAGGAGCACCAAGACCAAAGGAAGCTCGGTGACCTGGGGGCTGGTGAGTAAAAAACCTGGAAGCCTTTTATTTCAGGAACATGGGAACAGGGGCTGCATTCACTCACTCACTCATTCGGCAGGTGTTTGCTAAGCCACCATTAAAGACAAGGTAAATACAGGCTCTGCCCTGTTGACACGGACAACACATGTGACAGTCACAAGACATGCCGTGGGATGACAGAGGATGGATACCAAGTCCAGACCTGGAAGCAGTCAGGGAAGGTTTTCGTGAGGAATGGGCCTATGAGGGATGGTTGGAAGACTTGACCAGGGAAAGGGTTACATGGGGATGAGGGCAGGAACAGTCAGAAAAATGATAGCGTTTGGTACGCGAGAGACACGGGCCATGTTTGGCCACTGTGGCTGGAGCAGAGATAATGACAGGACAACGACAGGCCAGAGCCGAGGCTGGCAGGGCCTTCCCTTCTATGCTAAGGAGTATCTCTTGATGCCAAGAGCGATGGGGATGCATTGGAAAATGGAAGCAGGAGAGTTTCAAGGCCAGATCTGCATTTAGGAAGCTCACTCTGGGTGGCATGAGGAGTAGGTTAAAGGGGTAGAGACTAGAGGCAAAGAACCACTCGGAAAAGGAGCCATTATGTTGACCAAGAAACAGAGGGTGTATTTAGATACTGTTTGGATGTTCTTAGTGATTAGTTGTGAGTGGGACTCAAGGGGAAGAAAGGGGAAAGCCATCCATAAAGAATGAAAGCAAGATTGGTGCTCCCGCTGAAGCTGGTTTGGCTCAGTGGTAGAGCGTCAGTCTGCGAACTGAAGGGTCCCAGGTTCGATTCCGGTCAAGGGCATGTACATTGGTTGCGGGCAAATCCCCGGTGGGGGGTGTGCAGGAGGCAGCTGGTCGATGTTTCTCTCTCATCGATGTTTCTAGCTCTCTAGCTCTCTCCCTTCCTCTCTGTAAAAAATCAATAAAATATATTTTTTAAAAAAAGATTGGTGCTCCCTTTGAGCATTGGGGAGACATTTTTCACTCTTAACTCTTTGTAAAGGCCACGTTGTGACTCGTGGGCAGGACAGTGAGCTGTGCATCCAACATCCGGGGTCCATCGAACACGTTTGGAGCTCCTCCTCTTGCCTCATCCCTGATCTTACCATCATGGTGGCCGTGGAGCTGCACTCACACCGGGAAGCAGTGGGGGCAAGGCCCCCTCCGATGGGATTTGGGAGGCTTTATGGTCTCAGATGCTGCCCCCCACAGATGAGTAGGGTCGGGAACTGCAAAGGAGGGCTTTGCAGGAAAAGAAACAGTGGAAGGAAGTGACTCGGGTAACCGAGGCCTTGGTCTTCTTGAGATCTGGAGGCTGAAGACATGCATCCAGGTTCCACTGGGGTGAGCTTGGGAAAATCATTTAATCTCCAACACAAAACTGTCATTAAGATCAGCACAAGATTATAAGGACTTACACAAACCTGTGAGTCACCTATGCCCCATGAGTTTCAGTTTTCTCCTTTATAAGACGAGAATCAAAATATCTGCCCGTATATGTCTTGAATGAAACAAATCACGTGTACTAATGCCTTGGAAATACTGTGGGATGAACTATGTACATGTTGAAAACTTATATGGCTCTTGTCAGCTCGTGGGTTGAACATGGATGTTATAAGTCAGACTGACATGGATGTGAGTCCTGGATACACTACACATGAGCTGTTGGCAAGTGTGGGAGGTGGCTTCTAAGAAGGCTCCCAGTGCTTCCCACCTCCTGATATTTACCTCCTTTTGCGTGCGTGTAGAGGGCCGGACCTAGTGATGTAGGATGTAGTAGCTTAAAATAGCATTTATCATCTCACACTTGCTGTGAGTCAAGAACCTCAGCATGGCTTCCTGTGTCCTCTGGCCTAGGGTAGCTCACAGGCCCCCGTCATGTCCACTGGAACCACAGTCATGCCAAGGCTCCGTGGAGAACAATCTGCTCTCACATGGTTGTGGGAGGATCAAGTTTCTCAGGGGCCTCTGGGTTGCAGGTCCTAGTCCCACACCAATTGGCTGAAGACTGCTCCCTCCAGTTCTTGACTCACAGCAACTGGGAGATGATAAATGTTGCTTTAAGCCACTATATTTTGGGGGAATAAGTACAAACATAAATACAAATCAAATGCAGCAAGTTTATTAAATCTCTCTGAGCTCTAGTGTCCTCCTCCACAAAATGGAATCCTAATACCTCGTTGTAGAAGTGATAGCAAGAAGTCAATGAGAGCCCTGGCTGGTGTTTCTCAGTGGTTAGAGCATCCACCCATGCATAAAAGGGTCATGGGTGTGATTCCCAGTCAAGGGCACATATCTGGGTTATAGGTTTGATTCCTGGCCCCGCCTGGGGCCATGGTGGGAAGCAAACAATTGATGTGTCTTTCTCAAGTTGATGTTTCTTTCCCTGTGTTTGTCTCTATCTTTCCCTCCTCCCTTCCCCCGGCACCCCCCCCCCCCCCTAAAAACCAATGGGAAAAACATCCTCAGGTGAAGATTAACAACAACAATAACAAAAAGTCAATGAGAGACTGTGTCTATGCCAAATGCAGTGCTGGCACAGAGTAGCGGGCACTTGTTAAATGGTGGTTGTTTTTATTATATAAACCCAGGGAGAACTGAATGGTACTCATATCCAGGGCACTGGGCTTAGGACAGCAACTCCATGGCTGCCCTATCATAGCAGCCAGCACTCTACTCTTTATGTTTGTCTGGTGGTGTGCTTTCCCCCAGTGGGCTTTGAATTGGGTGAGGATGTGGGTCTATGCCTGTTGTGTCGCCACTCTATCTCCTGTGCCTGGCGACACTCAGTGAAGGGGGCCATTAAATAAAGAAGTAATGGAATTAAGGAGAGAGTTGAGAGGTTCCTGGCCCCATTGGGATGCCTGGTCCTTGAAGCAGCTGGCCCTTACAGTACCAGCAATAGCATGGGGGCCCGGGGCAGATGCTGGCGCTCAGTGTCAGGGCCCACTCTGATGCTCATTCGCAGGTGCTCCCAGCTGAGCTCGCTGCACTCAGGCAGCGGGTCCTTACCTCTCCAGCCTCCGTTTTCTCATGTGTCCAGCTGGGGGTCATAGTCACCTTTACTTTCTAATGGGATCCCTGTGAGGATTGAGCAAGGTCGTGAATACAAAAGTACTGGTACTCTGTACACCGCAAACAGGATAGCTATCAGGACTGTCAGCGGGAGCTGGCACTGCAATGGCCATTTATCTCAGGGGGCTGTTGTTCCATCAGGCGTGTTTTGACAGACTTAGCACATGTTTTTGGATTGCAATCGGAATTTATGGGCTCATTTCATATGAAAAAAGCAATATTCTGACAAATTTTACTTCCTCATTATCTGGAACATGGAGTGCTTTGTTTTCCCTTTAAGCTGTTTTTTATTTACCTTTGTGATTAGTATGTTTGGATTCACAAGTGGAAATGTGTCCCCTACAGATGAATTCTTTTGCGGTGGGGACGGGGCGGTTTTGCTTTGACAATGTGTTATTGGTAAAAGTCGGCTCCAGACGTTTGCTTTGTGCCTGTTGACATGTGGGCAAGTGCTGGGACTGGCTAAAGGAACAAAGGCTCCTCAGAGCGTCCCTCCATCTGCATCCAGGCTGGGCTGAACCCAAGGAACCATGTGTTCTGCCTCCTGGGAAACACACCCCAGGCCCTCACCACACAACCTTTTCTGCCTCAGACAAACCCAAACACAGAGAAGGCCGAGCCAGTGTCCTTGGAGCAGGTAATTTCCAGGCCCCCCAACTTCCAAGTATACCTTCCTCTTCACAACAGATGTCTCTGCCCAGCCTTGTACAGATTGAGCTCTCCCTGAAATGAAGGCACCGAGTCACAGGAGCATGAGTTGGAGAAACACAGCATACCATAACTCCCTCATGGAAAATCACACTGCAACTAACTTTAACATGATTTAGGTAAAAATAAACACCATCAAATCACAGTTAATTGCTTTCTATTTCTTTCTGATATTTCTTGTAATAATAATGATAACCTTCTCCTCTCCCCCTCAATCTAATACCACACATAGTTATTAGAATATTATTGGACTATACTAGAGCCTGGTGCATGAAATTTGTGCACAGCAGAGAGGGCGATCAGCCTCAGCCCAGCCTGCGACCTCTGCAGAATTGGGCCTAAACCAGCAATTGGACATCCCTCTCACAATCTGGGACAACTGGCTCCTAACTACTCATCTGCCTGCCTGCCTGATTGCCCCTAACTGCCTCTCCACCCCAGCCCTGCTGGCCTGGTCACCTCTAATTGCCTCCCTCACTGGCCTGGTCACCCCATGCAGCCTGTTCGGTTGTTATGGTCACTGAGGCTTTTATATATATAGATTCCCTGTACTTTACATCCCCATGACTATTCTGTAACTACCAATTTGTACTTTTTAATCCCTTCACCTTTTTCAACCATCTCCCCAACTCCTTCTTCTACCTGGCAACTGTCAAAGTGTATCCATGAGTCTGTTTCTTCCTGCATGTGCATTTGTTTTGTGTGTTTTGTTTTTAGATTCAGTTATTGATAGATATGTATTTATTGCTATCTTATTGTTCACATTTTTTATCTGTTTTCTTTCTTCTTCTTCTCAAAGAAGACCTCCCAACACCTCATGCAATTATTGGCCTAGTGGTGTTGAACCCATCCAGCTCCTTTCTGTCTGGGAAACCCTCTACATGCCCCCAGATTCCAAATGATAGGATGATAGCCCTGCCAGGCCCAGCAATCCTGGCTGTAGATGGATGCCCCTCACCGAACACTTCATGCCAATCCCTTCTGGCCTGCAAAGCCTTTGTTGAGGAATCAGTGGGTAGTCCCATGAGAGCTCCCTGTGGGCAACCAACTGCTCCTCTCCCACTTGTCTCAATTCCCTCCTTGTCCCCAACCTTCTTCATTTCAAGCATGACGTGTCTTGGTGTGGGCCTTTTTGGGTTCATTTTGTTTGGGACTCCTTACGCTTCCTGGGCTTGTATGTCTATTTACTTCTCAAGGTTAGGGGTTTTCATAAT